AAATAAAGGACATTAGATTAATTCTTTATAACGAAAGAAACTGCAAATTAAGTTGGCGAGTTTTATTTAACAATCCAGAGATCGTACCCGAAGGATTTGGAAAATAATCGAGGTTGATTTAGTAAAATCGTAACAGTATGTTATGTCAAGACCTTTCAAATTTTGTATAGTGTTGCCAGATACGAGCTCTGTAGCACTTTGTACATAGCCGCGAAATTCAAAAGACAAAAAAGCGGAAGGGAGATATTTGACAACCTTATATATATAACATACATTTTATAAAAGTAATTCAAAGCCATCAAAGTTCTTTTTCCCAAGTAAAAATATATGAAATAAATTAAATTTGATTAAATTACAATTTTTTCTATAACCACAAAAACAAATTTAAAAAAAATAAAAGAGAAAACGGAGGATCTTATGAATTACTCAACCATATCGTGTGGAAAAATTTAAGCAAATAAAATTTTGATGTATTCACATCGCAATTTTTTGTGAAGTTACCTTAAAATATTCACAACTAACCAGAGGTTAAGTAACCAGAACTTGGTGAAAACGAAAATGTCACATCAGCATATCTGATGCTAACCTCCGGTTAAAGGTTTTGTTAATCGAACATTGTGAAAACGAGCGTAACTGATATACCTAAATGGGAGAGGTCGGCGTTGTGTTTCCAAGGCCAATGAGTAGCATGCTATCCCTAAATAGTAGAGCTAACGTTTTGGTGTTTTCTCTTTCTCTTCGAGTTCGTATCATTTTAAGAATATTTATTAAATTAATTACATTGATTTCAAAGAAAATACTACGAACTTAGTCGGTCGGCAAAAGTGTGCCTCCACTATTTGAATAAAATTTTAAGTGAATATTTATCATTTTATTTGTAAAATACAATTTATTTGTCAAATATTTCTCCCATTAGCCTATTATTTTTCGTCATTTTCTTCTCTTTCTCTTAAACTTTTATCCTTCACATCTAACTTTATTGTATTACGCGCTGTCAATATCGAGAATTCCAATTGCTCAACGGTGACGCCGCGTTATTGTGGGATATCCCATGCACATTATATGGACATGCAAACAACGAAAACGAGAAGTTTTAAATTGTTATAATGAAAAAAATGTTTATTTCGTCTGTTACTTGGTAAGTCCATCCAAGAATCCATATGTAAACAGTATTTTCAAATTTTTATTTTGCTTTCAGACTGAAAAATGCAATTCAGAAGGAGTGCCACGGTTAAAAACTCAAATTGCTCTTGTTTATATACTACGAAAAGCGAACTTTATTACTATTCGTATCGGTTATAATTATTACATCCTTGGGTGGAAAATTGAGTGTTTTGATCTGGTGATCTCAACTGTTTTTTGACCAGATGATAGTTTTTCTTCTTGTAGGACTGTACAATGAACTGAACTGAACTCCAGCAGTGCGCGGTTTACTCTTATATAGCTACAGTTTGTTCGCATCTATACTAGGTGTGACAATTAAGTAATGAGACTGATTATATTGCCGCGATTGTGGTAACACTTCGACCTTGAAACTCCCTTCTCCCGGCATCCTTCTCCACTCCGTTGATATATTTGCCATCGCTCTAGCTTGTTTAGTTTCCCTGCAGTGTCGTGTGCACTCGTCACGAAAATGGAAAAATTAAATCAAGAGCAACGCGTCCCGATTAAATTTCGCGCAAAATCAAAACGGTAAATCAAGTCTAATATCGCCAAGTACTCGAGAGATTGCGAAAACGAGTCAACAGAGTGCGCCCAGACATCGCTCGTAACGGGATCTTTTATCACGACTGCGCGCCTTGTCACACCACCCTCAGCGTGTCTCAATAAATGGCTTCTAAAGGGATCTCCGTGTTGCCATTATCACCTTATTCGCTCGAGTTCACACCCTGTGACTTTTTTGTTCCCTAGAACAAAATCGGCGATCAAAAGAACACATTTTGAGTTCCAGATCTGTTACGAAGAATGGAAAACGCGCTAGAATCGTTGTATAGCAGCCCAAAGGGACTACATTGAAGGGGATGGCAGATTGTAGAATAATTTGAAATATAAGGTGTTTATAGAATCAGTCTCATTTATTAATTGTTACAGCTCGTATTTCATAAGATTCTGTTTGATGATCGATATCTTCTTGTCACCTCACATGCGTATTTAGAGTTTTCGCCACCACTATTGCTACCATTATTTTGAATAATTCTTTGAATTTGGTTTGTTATCGATATCGGCATTGTTTCCTTCGTTAAACGGTTTTCAAACGATTTCTGAATCTGCGGTTTTAAAGACTATAGTACAAATAAACTTCTCAGAAAGTAATGGCGTTAAATGGGGATGTTTGGCAGAACTTAAGGCAAGCAGATTTAATTGAACATCATTCCCTTATATTATTTACTGATTTATATTTTCAGTTATACCAAAAAGGTAGCTTTACTTGGGTCACTGCGTACCGATTGCAGTTTCATTATTGGCAGAGGTGTTAATGCGAAAATTATAGGAGCCCATAAATCAATACTATCTCGAGGTTCGACCGTTTTTGAAAGTATGTTTAATGGTAATTATCAAGAAGCGAATAACAATGCTCCTATACCGTTACCAAATGTTGAGGACTTTGCTGACTTCAAAGTGATATTGGAGTATGTTTACTATAAGAAGATGCCGTTATTGGATAAAATAAGTTTGGAACGGTTAAAGCATGTTTCATACCTAGCAGATTACTTCTTATTGGATGAAATCGTGACAAATTGTCATATTAAAGTGGTGAAATACGCTGCGGAGAATGTCATAAATTTGTATGATTTCGTACAATTGTTTGAATATGAAAAAAGGCATAAACTGGATTCGATTTATGTGAAAACAGAACAGCGCACTAGTATTCCGCTGGTAGAATTTAAAAACACGTGTTGGTTTGATTCGAAGGAATTATTACAAAATTCATCCATCTACGATTTATCAGGTTTAGATTTCTATGATTTACTTCTGTTGCCAGTTCTTAAATTAACGGAGATAGAACGTTTCATTTTAATTGAAAACTACGCGAAAATAAATAATTTAAATATGGATGAATTCGTTATAAATAAAGTAAGCGATGACGAAGATATTGAAGATAAACCCAAATTAATATCTCCAACTAAGGAGATAACTCTTAATGAAATGTTCGATCTAATTATTTTTTCAAAAATGACGGCAAAAGAATTCAAAAAGGGCCCTGCTTCTTCAAGGATTTGGAACATATCACCAGAAGAAAAGCTTGAAATAGCGCTTCAACTTTGTAAGGTCTAAGCGATACGGGTATAGTACAGCCTAAACCAAAAAATTATTAGTTTCTTTTATTTATTCCTGTAATGTAAATGTAATTGAAAACTTCATTGTAATAAAAGTAGAACAAAAACGAAATTTCTGTTTATTAGTTTAGATAAGATGAGCTCAATAAGAATGCGTATTATCTTCGTATCAGATCCGATCTGAGCGTACGAAACATTTTCAGCAAACGTTGGCTTTGGATTCATATACGTATGTCGTACGTATTTGGACATGGCACGTTGTTTCAGGCCGTTGGTTGTGCGTACATCTACTCGTCCATCGGCACCATTCCCGACGAGATGCGTTGGGATCGCATAAAAAGACGAGATAATATATTTTCAAAGGCTTTGATCGCTACCACAATTTAACCCGACCTGTCAATGTGGGAAGGTACTCCGCTATCCACCGCTTCCAAAAATGGTTTCTTAGTTGCCGAGCAATGCGCCACCGTTTACGCAAACGGCAAGTTTCTCCAAATCTACATCAGCAATAGGAGTTTGTGGTGTATTAGCTTCACCAATCCGGAAGTCATTAGGTGTCAGCGGCTGCTCTTGGTTGACGTCAACAGGCATGTGAGTCAGCGGCCGAGAATTTACAATGTTTTCCGCTACAATGAGGAAAAATGAAATGCGAATAAAAAACAAACTCTATACCTTTTTGCGACATCTAACTCTGCAATAGAGCACAGCCAAGGACCACGCTTAACCGCTTTGCTTCCCTGTCAACGCCGATAAAGTTTTTCGCATTATAGGACCTCATGCGAACGAGAATGCCACAACGGTTTGTAAAAACAGCGCAGTTGGCTTCTGAGACGTAGCACCCAATAATTTCGACAGATCTCGCAAATTGTAGATTACAAATTTTGATGACACAAACTCTACAAGTCCCTCATCGTCCTCGTCCTGCTATATGGTGCGGAAGCATAGACCTTTGAAATTTTTCGATGCAGTACCCGCCGGAGGAAGCACAGGAAAAAGAAGACATCCACTCCGTAGGAAAGACCAGGTAGAGAAGGACCTGGCTATACTTGGTATTTCCAATTGGCGCCAAACAGCAAAAACAAGAAAAGAATGGCGCACAGTTGTAAATATAATCGCGTAAGCAGTGTCTACGCAAGTAAAGTAAGTGCATCAGAACCAGTTTGGTTAAGGTATGATTAGGTGGCAGTATAATTGGACGCCTCATGTTTATTGGAAGCCAACTGGCGGCGTCTATAGGTCCACTTTCTATTTCCTGTAATTCCTCGGCGAATTCGTTACGAACAAGGCAACAAAAACGTAGTTTAGCTGTCTCAACTTCATTGGCTGATTGCGACGACGGCAAAATGTCGATAAATCTTAGGATCCGCGCTGCAGTGGTAGTTTCAGCTAGTATCTCGGCGACCCTATGCTGCACGAATGATTTATACTGCCGATGTTCACTGCGGAGTCATTGAATTACTGTTATTGAATCGCTCCATATGATGGACTCACTAATATTCGGGGTATGCTCTTCTCGAATACAACTAATGAAACGTGTTCCCAGGACAGCAGCGTGAAGTTCCCATCGGGACACAATCAATGACTTCATCCATGCGTATTTGATTTTTGCCTGCACCTCACCTCACCGAGAGCATTACATGCCCTTCACAGCGGCGAAAGCTCCCTCACTAGCTGTGTCTTCGCCATCCTTCCCAAGCGGCGTTTACGTTTTGTGGCAATGGCTGGTCCCACCGAATTTCATGCTTCCACACTTTCTGCATGAGTTGTTTAGCGCTCACTACGAAATTGCTCAGGAACTCTAATGGGCCGAATATGAACATCACCACGTTTAGCAGATTGATCACTATGCTGAATCAACACCTGATGGAACATTTCTTTGATGTCGCCACACACTGCTACTGCTTCTTCCCGGAAGTAGAGAAGTATGGCAGGCAAAGACGGATATTCCTGTGGTCCCTTAAGGAGCTGTGAGTTGAATGACACACCGTCCACCTCAGCGAATGCATCGAAAACCATACGCAACTTACTCGCTTTATTGAGATTGCGTACTATGAAGTATGGCAAGTACCATATCCAAGTGCTGGATATGGCGGCTTCTTCCGGCGATAGCTTTCGTACGTAGTTTTTCTCGAAATAATATTTCATGATTTTTTTTTATACTCAGTAGCGAAGTCTGCATTACGTTTAATGCAGATGTCATACGGAAGGTATTGAAGACGATCTAAATAAATTAAGCAAAGTCTGACCACTCAGCTTGAGAAGACCAGGCAATTATGAGCAAGAAGTCAGTATTAACAAATGTAATATCGAGATGCGCGTTAAAGAGGGAAGAGAGAAGGTATTTATCCTCTAATTGACGATGATAAATGGCTTTCTGCAGTCCATATTTCTGATTAAAAGAACTGTCTCCAAATTAAAGAACTCGTAACCAAAATTACGGTTTTCTGCTCCTCCTGTACTCCTGCTCTCTGAGAGCACTCATTAACAACTCGGTTAAAAAGAACTATTGTGCGGCATTTAAGCTCCTTACGAAAGTACGACCGAAAGTCCTGGTCATAAACTTTATTGTTAACTTTACAGTTTTTTCTCTGGACTTTAATTATTATAAATCAGATCACCAAAAATAACTTCAATTCTATTTTCTTAAAAATTATTAGAATGCTTTGTTAAGAAGCAAACAGACTGTCGGAACAATAAACTAGTTAACTTAAGATTAATTTAATTTGTAGGGTACATTCACTCAGGCTTTAACGGTGCGTGATTTATTACCTTTTTCTTAGTAGGATGGATTCTTTTTTTACATAAGTGTATGTTTAATACATATAATTGAGACTTTGCCAAGTAGCGTGCACTGAGATGAGGTATTGACATCTACACTGTCTACCAAATATTTGTTGTCACTTATTTCATTTAAAGGTTATTAATTAGCAGCAATCTTTAAAATGTCACAAGTAACGCTCGCTAGAATTTTTAGGAATATGAAGAACTTTGCATAGTCTTCTCTGTTATCCATTCTCGAAAATTACAGTAAAGTAATTTATTATGCTATGAAATTAGGAAAAATGTGATTTTCGCCAACAATAAGATTAACATTCAATAAAATTGTATGTGAAAATTAGTATAATTCAACGTTAAAGTATTAATTAACATAAAGTATGATACATTAATTTATTTAATAGTTTATATTACTAAATTTATTTCATACATTGTATTCTAAATAAAATTAAACTAAACTCTTTAGGGTTTAAATAATTCTTGTAATATCATGTAGTTGAGTTTATAACGCTTCTGATAATTTCTTGTTTGTTTTAACCAATTTGACTTAAGCTGTCTCCATTTGTGTAAGTGTTTACCCAGTAATTCTTCTTTGCAAATATTATCACTGCCAAATATCAGGGAATCCATCTCTTTTACACCTGCCACTTCATTTTTCAATACCGGTATTTTTGGTATTTCAGTAACCTTAGGAGCTGGCATTTCCGTTATATCTCGAAGTTCACCACTTTGTAAATGTTCGATTAATTCTCCAGCATTGTTATTTCGCACCACTGGCGATGGTGATCTTCTGTCCCGATAACTGCGGATATTTGGATTCCTTGGTTGGTTATACATCCATGCACGGCAAATAGGATAGAGTGCAGTTTGCTCAGTATACTTTGAGAGGTCAAGACTGCGATCAAACAACTTCATTACAAAGCTTTCTGCTTGTATTTTTTGTGTAGGCTGAACACATGATCTATCACTATCTTGCTCATCGCGTTTTCGTCGTTTATTTGGACTTAAATATTTTCCAGGTGACAGGCTACTATGACGCGAACTACGAGGAGATTGCATTTCTCTTTGATTGTTATTTAAATTCTTTGGTGGACGCCCGCGATGTGGCAAATCTTCTTCACTAGCAATCTCATTATCATCTGAGCCAGCAAAAGTATCATGCAATACATTCCTAAAACGGCCCCTTGCTAGTTGAACATCGTTTTGAAATTTTCTTCGTTGTGGTGAAGCCTTCATATCCCTTCAGCTTTTAATTAGTAAAACTTATTGTTTTGTTAAATAACAACGATCGTTTTAAATTTTTCAGTTTGGTAGAATTTAGTGAAATTTCACAAACATCGCAGAGCTGCATTGGCTTACGTTAATTCCGCTATACAAGCTAACGTTTCTGTAGAACGTAACCTAATATTGTTAGCGGAAATTTGCCGAATATAAAAAAATTCCTGTTAATCATAATTTAATAGATTTAGAAAGAATTTGTACAATTGATTGGAAGAAAAAAGAATTAAAGATCTAAATTTCCATGTTGACTTGTTACAGTGGAGAGGTGAAAACAACGTTCGGGACCGACTTATTGTATTTGTACTTACCTGATGACAAGAGGTTGAAAAACTAAGTACTAGAAAACTATATACGGTAAAGTGCATAATACCGACTTCTCGCCGAGGGAAAAATTAAATAGTGGGGGTTGTTAGGAATATTTAAGTAATTTCAAGGGTATATAACATTTCTTGTGCAAATGAATATTATGGGCACCAAAGGACAGGTGATTATAATACCTTTAATTTAATATGCATATATTTATATATCTTAAAAGATTTAAACAAAAATAGAGATATTTACAAAAAAAAAGGAAAAAGTGCATTATTAACCCTATTTAAAATTAGATTAATTAAATAGAGTACAAAATGTCCTTTGATGTACAGCTTGTTATGAGAAATGCCTGTACATATTATATTGTATTTATCGTTATTGAACCAAGATTGAGAGGAAGACGAAGAAGAGTACGATAAATAAAGTAATCAAACTTACAAACGTGTTCCACTTAAGGATACTGTGAAAGGTGGAGCCGGTGTTGGTCCCCCTGAGGGTTGCAATCTAAAACGCGGCCAAAGGCCGCCTACTTACAAAGGTGTTTTACTTAAGAATACAGTGCAGAGCGAAGAGAGAAAATATATATAACGGTAATCTAAATATTTACAAGTTATACATCAAATTAAAGATAATTTTGTGCTCTATTTCATTAATTTGTTTTTAAGTATGGTTAATACGGCACTTGTTTGAAAGAACAAGTTTTTCATAAAAAAATATTTTTTTAAATATCTTCCTTTTTGTTAAAAAAATGTGTAAATATTTGGTTTAGCGGTACTACTCTTTTGAAAATCGGTTCAGTAATTTTGAAAATATGGGCATTTTAAAAATTAGGAGGTACACCCTTTCCCACCCCCTGGCGCTCATAATATTCATATGCACAAGAAATGTTATATACTATTAAATTCGTGAAAAAGAGGGGAAGCACGCCTACTAACTAATTTTTACCGGTGCGAGGAATCGGTATTCTGCACTTGTTCTCAATACACATACTTATTGCCGATTTATTAATCATAATATGAAGAAAGTACATACATACATTGAACATCACATTTAAAACCTGCATTTAAATAACTCTCTTTTAGATATTAAAGATTAATGGAATAATTTGTCTAATGCACAAGTGTATTTAGTATTCTCCGAATATAAATAAATTCTCTTTCAACTGGCGGCGTACCAATTCATCTATCGTTTTTCGATTTTTATATCAGATTCTGAAGAAAAAATTGGTTTTCTCATAGCTTCTCGTAATATTAAATATAGTCGACACCGGCTTTGTAGCCTTATATTCAAGATAGGTTAAAACGATCAGTGGCTGCGCCCTAAAATTACAGCTAAAAACATTTTATATTTCAGTACTTAAAAACAAAGGTTTATAAGTTGTGCTATCTGCAGTTAAGAAACGCATTGAATTATCAGATGTGCATGTTATTAGTTTAAATAGTTTTACATTTTTGCTTTGAGTTATTACTTTCAGTGTTTTGGCAGCATATTCGAATGGTATTCTCATTTAATGTATTTTTTTTTAATTCTTTCATGTTAATATCTCAACATTACCTTCCACGAGAAGATATTGAGAACTGTCGTAAAGGCATAATATTGAGCATAAATTATTAAAGATGAAGTACACTTCTGACAACAGGAACTAGTTGTAATTTTAATTAAAATGTAAATGTTATTCTTTTGACCTTATAATCATATATTATATCTTGATGCGAGCAACCAAACAGAAAAATCTTTGTCTTAGTTTTACACAATTTCTTAGATATATATATGCAAGTATGGAAAGGACTCAATCTTTTCCAAAAATAGATATTTATACATAGATTTTTTTATATTATTGTAACCATATAATCAAATGAAATTTGCGTTTATGTTTCTAAGTATACATAAATATTGAGTAAAATTTATTTTAAAAGTATATTTGTCTTTAAGTAATAATTTAAATTATATCGCGCGGTGCGCTTAGGAAATGGACCGAGTTCGAAACCTGATGCGTTATCTCGCCCAGTGTCTCTTTATGTACACCTCCAAATAATATCAGTTCACCGTGTCCCGCTACCATTGTAGATAGTATTAACCTTTCAGGTGCCCCGGGTATGACACCGTAGTTTTTATGTTCTATCCACTGTAAATGTGGGTCATCTTTATCCATAGCTGATGATAGATCACAAACGAATAAGGAAAGAACATTTCGTTTAATTCGTTTCGGGGATGGCTCTTTGATAGCTTTGGGTTCTCCAATCATTGCGCTACGCCTTGAATTTCTCAGAGCATTCATTTTTTCTTCCATACGACGTATACGTTCATTATGGTCTTTTGAAACGCTTCGGGGTCGGCTTTGTACGTTAAACGCTGCCATTCGGAAAGGATCCTACAATAAATACCAGAATTGATCATTAAGTTATTGCGTGTGATTACATTTGTACTTACTTCAAACAATTCGTCAAAACGTTTGGGCAGTAGCGGTTCGTTGTCCCTGCAACGCAGCGCTAAATTCCTCTGCAAACGGTTCGCCGCTTCAATGTCGTTGGAGTTATTTCCACTTACACTCGCAATAGCATCATTATCATTTCGTGGAGAAGAAATTCCATTTGTACGAGAAACGGATGCACTGGTTGATGACGATGGTACCACTAATAGCGTTGAAGAACTAGAAGATGATGCTGCCAAAGTATTTGAACAGGATGGACGGTTTTGATTACGCTCTTCTACAACCGCAGCGTTGGGGGCGGATGAAGTACCATGTAAATCACTAAGTCGTCCCCGTCGTGGTTGAATATTATTATTATTACTAGTATTATTGTTATTAAAAATAACATTGGCTTGCTGTTGTTGATTTTGTTGAAGTATAGCTCGTCGGTTAGCAAAATATTGTTCACCAGGACCGCCCAAATTAGCATTATCGAGTCTGTGTTGTGGTTGTTGTCTCTGTGCAGCTGGAGGTGGATTTGCTACAACTGCTTCCATTGGTAATCCTCCACCTAAAAGTCTTTGTCGGTCGAATGGATTATTTCGATTATTTTGATGTTGAACAGCCCCATATCGAGGTGCAGGCATGTCAGCGGCTGCACCTCCAACACCACCAATCGCTCCTCCGTGTGCTCCAACTTGACGTCTATATCCACTGACAGGCACTCGCATCTGCTTCATCATTTGAAAATCTTGTGGCATATTTGGTGTTGGACCAAGGACAACTAATTTTGAGCCAATTTTACAGGCAGGGTTGCACCACATATGTGTGGCACCGTATTTTTTGTTTCGGATTGGGACTGATCGCCATGCCCATGCCTCTTGCGACATGTCCAGTAACCAAGCATCCGAATATACACTGTTTGGGCCACCACAACCTCCAACAATCAACAAGTGATCGTCATCCAAAACCAATTGAAACTGACCATAACGGGGCGGAGGTTTTGTGTTACCCATAAATCGAGGTTGCCACCATTTTAGCTCTATCAAATTCAAACACCATGTTTCATTTGAATTACTATTTACGCCATCAGCAATTTGGTATCCGCCAAATATTACCATTTTATCACCATGTACTGTAGCAGAGTGTCCCGCCATAGGAGGAGGGCTTGGTAAAGACACTCGCAATGTCCAGCGATTACTATTTAAGTCATAGAAATGAAGTTCGTCGAATAAGCACCATGGCTGATAAGGTGGATGCAGTGATGGGTAACGCCATCCCCCGAATAACACCAGTTGTTCTCCCCAACAAACAATAGATGCACTCCCCTTTGGTGATGGATAGGAGCCCATAGACAAGGGACGTTCCCAAATCATTTCAGATAAGTCAAAACGCCACAAGTCGTTGAACGTAGTATCAGACGATGATCCGCCACCAAAAACATACATTGAATTTCCATGTCTCACAGTTGAATGCGAAAAACGTCCAGCGATTATTGGTGGTTGCGTGGGTGGTATTGACAGATTCTTTGCCAAATATTTACTCTCAGCTACGTTAGTCGCAGTTTGCTGGGAAAAAATTTCCCATCTTAAACGGTATTCAATTAAACCTTTATGTAGGTTTAATTTCGAACGTCGAATTAAATCTTAAAATATCAACAAATGAGAAAAGTTTATATTTAACATATATAGATGTATACACTTTATGCACTTACTTTTAACCACTGCATTCCATCGTTTACAAACCAGTCTACAACATTCCAAATCTCTATATGGAGGAAGATAGGTAAGTATGAATTCCAAAATCTCCTCGGGCAATGAATCTAGGTGTACCGAACCAATGTATTTTTGGAAAAACGTGGTATCAGCCATTGTAACATTGGACTTGTCTTTTTTTTGTTCGACATTGACAGTGTCCTTGCACGGCAAAAACACATTCGTAACTTTATCATTATTTGTTGTTGGCATTCGTAATACATTTGAAGCCTTAATTTCCTTGCTAATACCTTCCATAACCCGCCTTAAAGTGGCGATTTCCTGATTATCAGTACACTCCTTGTTTGCGCTTGAAAAATATTGTTTTCAAGAGGTTTGTGGTTTGCTTTAACACTAAATCATTCTGATAAATAAATACATATATCAATTTGATATTGATAAACACTTCTTGTTTTTTTTTTATTCGAAATCAGTGCCAGGAATTTTTTAAACTCACGAAACTGCAGAATGGAATACATGTATCAGAGAACGTTATATGTTATACGTTCTCTGCATGTATAAGCTGTCAAATAAAAAATCTCTTGAGACATCTGTTGTGGGTTGCCAATGTCATTCTATTAGAATTACACATGCACGTCGTATAAAAACGTTCTCTGCTGCTTCTTAACATATACGTTATACGGTATAAGTTGATGTAACCATTTTTGATTAATAACTGCGCTTATTTCCCAAATCGGTCGCGCCCGATTACTGGATAGTTGTAAAATTTACAAAACTGGTTGTAGAATTTCATTTTAAGGAATTTTATTCCTTAATAAACAATAATTCGTTTTACTGTGCGCAAAAACTTAAGTTACAACTCTCGCACTTTAATACATTTACTCATAGTAGTGTTGTCACCAACGAGTTCACTTTGTAGCGGCTTTCTGCAGTATTTGTTATTGGAGACTACACCACTCTTCGAAATCCCTTGCTTAATCTCGATGTTTAACCTCGAAATGCACTTTGTGGAAGCCATGACAGCGCATGAGCAGATGGTGTGTTTAGGTCGGAAGCAGCAAGGCCTTAAGAGTCTTCACTACTGGCGAAATGAGAGATATAGGCCGATATGATTCTCCTTTTTTGGCTGGTTTCCCCGGTTGGAGCAGCGGAATCAATCTACCGATTTTCCACATGTCGGATATTTAGGTGGATCTTGAGGAGAACCTTTGTTTCCTCTGGCCCAGATTTTTACATCAGCATACTTATTCCGTCGGGGTCGATGGGAAATTTCGAATACCCGATGACCCTCTCTTCCTTGGTGAAATCAAGCTGTAACTTAATTTTGTTAACCGAAGGGTGTAGTGTAAATAATCGACTAAAATAGCTCCCGCACCTCTTGAGGTCCGACGAGATGCGCTCACTGAATGAAATGTCCATCCCAAGTCATCGCATGTGCGCATCATGAAGCGAGTAATTGTGCAAAGTATGCATTCACCACAACGTTAAAAAATCGCTGGACAAGATGACTTACCCTACAGCCTATTTCAGCGGTAAGGCATGCCTGTCGAAGAAGGCGACTAAAATCTACTAGTTCCCGCGACAGTCGGGTCTTTATACCGGAAGCACCTGGATTTTTTTCCGGGGAATAATTAGGGAATATAAAAATGACAACCGCGAGTGTGTTCATAATATCTAGAACTCTCTTCTAGCGAACGGCTTTCGTTGAATCAAACCAAAACCAATTGCACACGAAGTGCCCAAGATGTCTCTAGAGTACCGCGTAATAGTTGCACAACTAAGTTCTGGATACTGTAGACGACAAATTCCTACCAATCCAGACTTGATCCCCTTTGCCTTGATGATTTGCACGTAAATTGTTGTTAACTGTGAACTTATGTAGCTTATTTAAATTTCTTGTGCTGTTTAGAAAATATTGACAGTTTGTATCCTGAACATCTTGACCATTGGTCTATAAGCATGGAATCTTATGGATTCTTATTTAATCTACTTCTAACCCCTTATATAGAGCATATCATAGCTTATCCCTTATTAAAAATACCACTTTTGCTTTTAACTAATTTATTTAACTTTCTACAACGATTCATTTGTTCATATTTATTGAAAGTTTTTTTAAGTAATGCTTAATTCAAGATTTATAACATTACAATTACAAGAACATTTATATTTATAGTAAATTTGAATTGTTTTCTGGTGCGATAAATGCATTTTTAAATATATTCTTTACCCAACTGCCTTTCCTAAATTGGAATGCATCTACTTTTTCAATTTTGTGGATTAACTTTTAATAAATTTAGGATATTTTTGCATGTGCTTGAAAGTCAATTGTGCATCATACTCTTGTGTATATTGAAATCGGATATAATGTATTATTGATTGTAATTACATATTTAAGTAAAATCTAATTTGTTTGAGAAAATGAAGTACCGCTATTTCTAACTAGAATTTTTGAGTAAATCATACTTTTTTAATCTTACATATAATCTATTATTATACCGCGATTAGGGGGACCAGATTATTCAACTTTTAGAAGTTCTACATCAAAAGTCAAAGTTGCATTGGGTGGAATAACACCTGGGTGACCGCGACTACCGTAAGCATAGTCTGGTGAGCAGATGAGTTTGGCGCGTTGACCGACAGAAAGTTGAGCTACACCTTCATCCCAACCGCGAATCACTTCACCTTTACCAAGTGTAAATTTGAAAGGCTTATTACGATCCCGAGATGAGTCAAACTTAGTTCCATTGTCTAATGTGCCGGTATAATGTACTGACACCACCTGTCCAGTTTTTGGGAATGTACTACCTATATCGTGTATCGTGTATTAGAATGAAGCATGAAAAAGGTTAGAATACAAAAGTAACACTTACCATCACCGGGTGAAATTGGTACTACTTGTACGCCCATTTTACTTATTGAATTTCTTTTTTTGAAAGGAAAAAAAGCTCAAATTTTCACTTTTATTTAGGAAAAACAGATCAATTTGTGTAATCTGTATCTAACAGCGGCGGTGAAAAAATGAGAATGCAGAAAATTCTTGTAGAGAAATTACGGAAACCGTCAATATGGCGTACAGTACACAGTATTGCCAGATACAATAGATTCACAACGAAACAGGGTAAAATTATGAAAAAAATATTTGATTTGATATTTGCCTGTCTTACCGGGGTCGCAAGATAGTCGGAAAATCTTAGACCCAAGTTCCTAACTCTTGGCAAGAGGAGGGGCAAAGGGAGGTTAGGTTACAAGCAAGATGAGAGGGTGCCGGAAGTTTTAAAGAAAGGTCACGTGTTTTGAGGGCGAGCGTTTATGTTTCGGTCATTATACTTTTAGATTTCTTAAGATACCTCTTTTAGTTTTAAAATTATCAAATGAAAAAATACAAAATAATTAATTTTTCTTAGGATTGTTTTTTACAACTATTTTGCAATTGCAATATTCTACCAGAAAGTAACTAAAATCAGAGTGCGCGATTTCTTAACTATTAATCGCGCTATTTTACATACATACATATGTTTTATGTTTAGTAGTTTTAACATGTATGATCTGACCACTTTGCATAGTATAAGGGAGTTTGGCAACAGTATACTATTAATTTCCCACTTTGCACTGAAGAGCAGGAAAGTTATCAAAGAACCGGTCGAAGAGTTTTATGTGATTTCTGTCAATTAGCCAACCTGGGGGATCCTTATAGGACGATGTTTCTCTCGTGCAATATATAAATCAAAACATACACATACATGTTTTTTATGTCTATAAATATTTATTAAACAATTCATTTCTATACTAATTACGGTATAAATAAACAATTCAGTTTCTTGAATTGAAAATAAGTATTAATTACGATAATGACACTGGACTCACAGTTTCCGTAGGCGTTGAAGGGAACACTTGTTGTAAATTAAGTAATGAAAACAGCAAGCATATGACTGCTGAAAATTAATAAATACGCTCATGCAATGAATATTAAAATATAATATTATTTGCTAACGTAAGCGCTTTATCCAAATTACTTAAAATAATATGCTTGTACAACACAACATTTAACAATATTTATATAATTTTAAATAATATATATTTAAAATAGGGCTCAAAACTATTCGAACATTGTTAAACAGTTCAAAGATTTGAGAAACGAGTAGTTATACTTCTCTTCGACACTCGTTGTCCGTATAATTATATAAAAATTCTTAGAAACAAAACAATAGCTTGAAAAATTCAAAAAACTATTGGGGAAGCTGAGCACTGCTCGATACTTGAGTATTTAGAGCTGTGATTCCCAATTTGAGTTGTAACATTGTTTGAAAAAAATAATGTGGTATCCTACTAACTTAAATAAATATGGTACATAAGCATAAACAACATCAGCATATCAACATATAATTATATTAATTATAATTGTAAAACATTTTAAAGCGCACAGTGAATAAGTGGAGTTTGAAAATATTTTTTATATACTCCTATATCAAATCTGTTAGTTCAATTAACATCAAGATTAATAAAATTTTATAAGACAAAATTGAGGCTCCTATTCGTCTTTTTTAAAGAGTAAATAGATTTCAAAACATTAAACATATAACTTTAATCACCTCTCGGCAAAGAATTCCCTTCGAAGTTTTAAAAAAAAACATATTTTAAATTAAAAGTTTAATTAAAGAAACATAACCTACATTAACTTTCAAAGTGTCTTCATCAAATTTCTATTAACCTTAGGCATTAATAAACAAAACTAAATGGTCATTATTTACAGCTGCAACAATTTGGATTTCTATCATTTTCAAATTCAATGATACCAATTCGACGACGGTAGGGCTTATGGCCAGGCAATTCCAGCGGCCTCTTTGATGGCACATATGGCAACTGCATATCGAGTATTCTAACAGTGTATTTCCTATGTGGTTTCCCATTAATATACTTATCCTCATCAGCTGTTCGAGCAGATGCAAAAGTTGCTTTACTTTGAATACATATTATGTTTTTTTCTGACTCATTGTTATGCTCAAGCTTCATGTGTTGAAATAGCTTTTCTTCAGTAAGAAATTCACATTTGCATTTGTCACAAGTATGATTTAACTGTTTCTCGTGTGAAATTAGATGCATATCTAGTTGATGTTGAAACATAAATTGTTCGTTGCATTTGTAACAAATAAATCTGCCTCCATTTTGACGATCTAAATGATAGTCCAAGAAAACTCTGTAAATAATGTAATTTATTAATTTTAGCGAAAAATTTTTATTAAAAAAAAAAAAAAATAATGGAGAACACAAAGATTATTATCTCATGTTTCCAACTTATAACTTAAAATATTATTGAATATTTTTAAATGATATAAATTCTTACTTGCTTGTAAACACACTGCCACATTTGGGACAGTAAAACCATGAGCTCTTAAAATGGTGAACATAGTCGTGCAACATTAAGTTCAATAATGTATCAGTAAAAAAGCCGCAATTCTCTGCTAAACAAGCAAATTCTTGTGCTCTAATTTGAGATTTTAGCTTTTCCAATAAATAAAGATCTGAAAGAAAAGAATTTATGTACAGTAGATAGCTAATTATTATTATATTCATAAAACCACTTATGTTATTTGCCATATCAAATCCAATACATACCATATTCCTTTTTACTATTTATCTCTATCATAGGTTGATCACGAACTTCGCTATAATGTCGGCTTTCTAGCCAATTATCAGTATATACTCTGCGTCCCAAATCCATTGAATCAGCTACAGAAATATCATCTTCATAGTCTTTGTTCGTGTAACAGGTGTCATTATCGCTCTCTTCACAGTCAGCGTTGTGATTTATATACCGTGAGACACTAGTTAACGCCGTGGATCTACGACTTGTAATGGGGTTTTTCGTATTTACGTCGGTTCTGGCTCGGCTTTGAGCACGTGTCACTCGGCGACTAGTTATTGTCTTAGCGGTTGATCGCTGCGATCTAACCATTGATTTATCGCAATCATTCAGCTCTACATGTTCTTTATCAAAATCTTGCTCTTGCCACACCTCTTGTTTCGCTAAACAAACTATGCGATGGAAATCATGTTCATGCAAGGTGTTAAACTTTTTGTTGCACATATCACATTGGTATTCGCGTAAATGAGTTGCTCGATGTATTTTCAGTTTTGATATGCTGTCCATCGTTGCCTGGCATTCGGTACAGTGAAATTGTCGTGTGCGCTTTGGCGGTTCCAATGTAATAGGAGTTACACTTTTGCTCAGAAGATTTATACGATTTCTTTTGGCATTAGAAGAATCACTACAAACCATATTATTGGCGGTAGCTGATGGCAAACTACGAGCTGTTATATTGCGACACCGTCGTACGTGTTTATTATAGTGATCTTTCCGAGAAAAAGTATTAGCGCAGTACCGACATTGCCTTAGGGTATTTTGACGCATATCACGTTTGTAGTTGTTTATTTTACCACCGGATTCGGTTATTAAAACTGATTCAGACCGTTCACGTATAACTTGTAACATTGAATGATTTATTCCGGCTTGAGAATAAGTTGAATTGGAGCACGATGATGGAATTTCCAGTATATTAGGTAATTCTAATAATTCCATTCTTTCTGCAGACAACATTGATTTATCCACAACATGATTATAATCAGTATTGCTTTCTGCTATATATTCCATCGAAGGTATTTCCGAAATCTCAGCCAGCCTATAATTTGCGAGATATACTGTATTTTTGTTATCCGTTTCTTCAATAGAATTATCTAGCAGATGATTAACACCAAGGCATTTACTGTGTGTTTTATAAGTAATCTTTTCAAAAGATTGAGAAATATTTAGTTCCGATGATTCTATAACACTGAATTCCGGAGGTGGATGAGAACTTATTTTATTTCTTCCCACTCTCCTATTTGATTTTGATGTCGATTGGGGAAGGTCACAAATGGTGTTGGAGCGCGTTTGGAAATGTTTAATTTTCTGTTTTTCTGTAGATATGAGAATTTCAGAATTAACTCTATTTTCCATGCGAGTGTTTGACATTTTTGTGGTTTGGCTATTACTTATACTTTGCAAGCGCACTTTAATATTATTTTGGACTTCTCTAACAGCTCTAGATTTAAATACGCAAGTTATACAAAGAGAAGACAAGCAATCATCCAGATCCTGCAAAATATTATGAATGCATTAAATTTTATCGTAGAAATATTAAGTTATTTACTTATATTTTCGAATTTTATTTAGAACAAAATAAATATTTTTATAAAATGCTGATTTAAAAAAAAAAAACATTTTGAAACAGTACTCACCACAGAACCGTCTTCGAGGTAGGAGGCCATAGTTTTCTTCATAATTGGATTCGTGGATAAATCTACTATTTCTTCACTGCTTCCGCAGATTATGCATGATTTAGTAATTACTGGTTGCTGTTCTTCAAGATCGTCCTCCTCAACGTTCATTTGACGCTTTTTCTTCCGTTGAGGCAAACATTTTTCCCCCGCCGGCGTTTTCGTAGGTTTGTTGCTAATGTGATCTAAGAGGAATACAAAAAAGCTTCCGTTTATCATTGTAAGCACATTTGTATAAATTTATATTATCATGAGTAGCTAAACTACGGTATCTTACGCTTGCCACCGCGGGTTTGCTCTCGAGCGGGCAACTTATGTATTGCATTGGTTTTGTCTGTTTGAGATACACGTAATTTTTTTCCTTTCTGCATCATTGCATCGGTGCTCCAGCTTAAATATAACTTTTAACTCAGTTCTACTCGGTAAATATTTATTTTAAAAATATTTCATTTATATTGTTTTCACTTTTTCTGCAATTTGTATAAAAGTTAAGATTAAGTAGTTTTCGGACTGTTTATTTAGAGTTGCCATATTTAGTAACTTCAGAAATAGTAACAACAAATATTTAAAACAGCTGATAGTCCGAAGCCGAAACTACCAGTTGACATATATTTAGAGACAGTATTGTTGCGAAAATGCGAGGCGAATGTCAGATGAAAGAGAGAAGCCGATAACTAGTACATTCTAGAAACGATAGAACAAGAACCTTCCATAGCGAACAATTCGATGCTTCTACGCTTTCGTCTGCGAGCAGCCGACTGCTATATAAAGGCGACACTCAGCTGCAAGTCAAGTTAGTGACAAAGCGAACTGGTTGGCGTTAACATCAGTGAAATCGTAAAGTGAACGCGTTGGGAATTACATTTAAGTAGAGTAAATTGTGAAAGTTGATGTTAGTGATTATAAATAGTAAAGTGCAGTATAATTGAATTGTGAATTACTGAGAAAATAAAGGACATTAGATAGAATCTTTATAACGAAAGAAACTGCAAATTAAGTTGGCGAGTTTTTATTTAACAATCCAGAGATCGTACCCGAAGGATCTAGAAAATAATCGAGGTTGATTTAGTAAAATCGTAACAGTATTATTACTATTTTCATTAAATAAGCCTCGATGATTTTCCAAATCCTTCGAGTTCGATCAGTGGATTGCTAAATGCAATCCTATTCTGTCGAGGTAACAAAATTTACCTAGGTATTAAAATTTAACATTCAGTAAATTTTGTTATCATTTCGAATTCTGAGCTCACTGTTACACTGTAAATTTTGTTACCAGCGAAATAGGAGGTAACAAAAATATCTGCTGTATGATTTTGTGTTGTAAGTTTGAGAAAAAATAAAAACCAAAATGGGTAGGCATATTTTTGACCTGGAATTCATTGAAGATGTAGGAAAAAGTATAAAAAGGCGTATTTTAAGAAGTTTTCGAGACTAAAAAATAGTTTTAATTCAGCTTTTTTTGTTATCCAGGTATATTTTCCTTAATTATGATTTAATAAATAAATTAATAAACCTTTTTAATTCTTTTGTGCACCGTCTTCCATTTTGATGGGAATATTTTTCTTTTTACTTTATCAACTGGCAAATGTAATTTGACATGGACGAAAAAAACAGTGCTGCCAAAGTTTTTTGAAATATTGTAACCAGTACGCCAGAATACCAAATTCAATTTCGGGTGTTAAAGAAAAGTAAAAAAATTTTACTTTTAACAGTGAGAATAGGTCTGATAATAGTCGTAAGAATTATTTTTCATCTTTTTTATTGTACAGAGTTTAGCACATCTCTTCTAATCAGACATCTTACCAATTATACCATTCTCTATAAACACATTGTATATTATCACGGAGACACAGTTTAATGTCGTCAACTGTACTGTATGCTGCGATGTTTGCCGACGCTGTAATATTCTAACGATTTCCCGCATGTATTTCTTTGACTGTTCTCGATAACGAGCTCTTGATAAACGGGTTCTAGAACATGCAATTGTTATCGGTATTTACCATCCATCTGGCTCGGAGAAACGAGACTCTCGATCGTCAAGAGTCGATCTGTTGGGTGAGACTCGCAAAGTCATGACTTTACACCGGTATACTTTTTGTCCACAAAACACTCGTTTGTAGGGGAGAGGGCGATGACGAAAGAGTCAGCGCACCGTGTCAGAGAACTTATTATAACGAGAAGCAGAGAACTTATAATAACTATACTATTTATAAGTACTCTGGAGAAGGTGCAAATTCGTTACAATATCGAACATGCTTCAAACAATTTCTGAAAAACTTTACGAAAGGGATTCACCACACCAGGAATGGAAAATTTTGCCATCGTCGGAAGGAAACTGCTTGTGGATGGCGGGTATAAGGGAAGAAATAGGCAAGTTTTTGGACATGTGTGTGATTTTCGTATACAAATTGATAGCTTTGAATGTATGTGTCTTCAACTTCAGATTAACTTGAATTCTGATTTTTGTAAATTTTGTCATCCTCGCGAAAAAATCGTTTGTGGATGGCGGGTGGAAAGAGGGAAGGGCATGCGCATTATTTCGTAAACATATTAAAATGCTTGAATGTATGTAGGTGTTTTCACTTTGGCTTTCACTTTGGCGCGAATTTTAGATTTTTAGCAAATTTTGACTTCGCTTGAAGAAACTGTTTCTTGATGAAAAGCAGAATAGAAGAAGGGTTTGTATGCGGTAGTTGTTTTCGTTGCATCTATGCTTCTTCTACTTATACCAAAAAGCTTTTAGAGAAGTGCGTCGTCGTGAGTTGTTTTGTTGTTTTTGTTATTGATAGTATGTGTTTATGAATGAACAAAACTATTTGAAGTTATTTGCTTTTAAATGACCTTATGCATGGTTTAGCTTTTACAAATAAATACCCATATTTATATGCACACATACATATGAATAATATAGTATATAAAATACTCAATTAATATTAAAATAAAAATAATTAAAAATACTTTATATAAAATAGCTATTTACTTTTCTAATTTCGTTTCATAGTATTTTCCATTAATTTAATTACTTGGCTTAAATGCTATATTTATTTACTAACTTTTATGAATTGTTCAACCCAAAAATCAAGCATATTTTATCCACCGCCGAACATACATACATAGATATGTATGTTTGCATGTAGATATTATGTGTTTATTTGTAAACACTTGCAAAAAAAAATCTTCTTCGCATCGTCAACAAAGTGTATGTATGTATGCGAAAACAATACCTCTCCCCCGCACGCAGCTTTTTTACAAGCCACAGCTCACAAAAATCAGAAGTTGAAATAATTTCTGTATCCGCCGTCCACATGCATACTCTCGATAAAGCTAACAAATAATCCGCAATTTAAAAATGAATATTCCTTTAATGTCCTTAAACCAAAAGATTTCAATAAATATGATTAGAATTTAGATCTAAAAAGGTTTGGAAATATCGAATCATTTCAAAATGTAGTAAACTTTGGCAAACCTTCACCTTTAATTCACAAAACCTAATGGACATAATCCTTTGAAGTAATGCAAATCAGCAAAGTCGATTGTGGACGAAGTGTGGAGATATTGGGCGAGTTCAAAAAGATGTTGCGAAAGCGCAACATAATAATGCAACCCTGCATTCTATCAATTTGCCTTGCAACAATAATTTCCATAATCAGTCGAAACAGCGGTGTCATCAGGCCGCCTCACAGCTGCGACCTGACTGCGTTGGACTATTTTTTGTTCCGAAACGTTAGGGTTAAATTACTCCAAGTTCTCTGGCCCTGCATGATTATGCTCCAGTCTTGAAACCTTCTGTGAGCGGAGGCGGGTGTGTATCTTTGCTGCTAGAAGATTGTAATCTGAGTCGATGTTAGGTCCCCAGAGTGTACGTACGTCAAGAACACTGAAGACATGCCTTCCGCCTATCACAACATGATCGATCCGGGTTTGTGTTTTACTATCAGGGTACAACAAGTAACTTGATGTATTATTTTGTGCTGGAATCTAGTATTACAGGCAAGCATATTTCGAGACCCGGCGAAGTCGGGCAGCCTCAACCCATTAGGGGATGTTTCGTTGTGAAGGCTGAATTTCCCGACAGCCGTACCAAACTTACCTTCTTTGCACATACTGGCATTAAAATCATCAAGCACGATTTTCACATCGTGATTGGGGCAGCGTTCGTAAGTATGTCTAGGCGCCAAATCATCCTTCTTTTCCGTTGGGACGCGAAATATCACTTTGATGTCAATTGTGGCGAGATGCTTATCCACCGGAGTGAATGCCAATAGTCGACGACGCTCCTTTATATGGCCGCCGTAGTAAATGTCACAAGAACCTACTCGCTTTCGTCCTTGTCCCATCCATTAATCCATTAATTAGAAGCGAAGAAATCATGCTCTAAGTTTTGATCCAATTGTAAAGGCATCCTACATAAGTTATAAAAAAATCACATTATATGGTGATCTCACGAGATAAAGAGTTTCGTATCATTGTTATCGTATAGTTGGCAATCCCCACCTCGCGGAGTTTAAGTTTAGCTTTTGAAAATATTTACTGAGTTTTAATCACCAAAATATATGCGTATGTGCGTTTATCTTTGGTAATTAAAAAATAAATATATATATATATATATATATGAGCCGTTTATTTTGAAAGTGGCTTAAGGCCACTTGAATTCATGTTTGCCAAATAGTAGTGATTTTGGAGTGACAGAAATGGCTTTGTGAAAAATAATTTAGTCAAAAATAAAATATTTACAATTTTTATTATATAATTTCTTAACAAATATTATTTCAATAACTCACCTTAAAAACATAACAACACAATTCTTTTGGATAATTTGTTCAATATTGTTGTGAAACTTAAGTATTTTGTATGCTAATCAACCTCCATAGTGGAGTAACTTTAAGTGAAAAAATTAATTTATAATAATATTAAGCAAAGAACACAAAGTGGACTTATTCCGTTTCAAAACTACAAAAGTTATTTTTATTGATTTTGAAAGTGGCTTATGTTCATTTGGGGTTGTGAAACATAGCATATTTTTCTAGTAAGATTTACATAACGTATTAGATTATATTAGGTGTAGTAAAAAGAGATCCATTATTTTTCAAATAGATGTCGTCATTTATCGTATCTCGCGTTGTATAAGTCCGATCGGATTCCGCTAGATGGCGTTAGAAAGATGACATTTCGTACTAAAAAAAAGCTTTTCTGACAGTTTTCTGATTGGTTGATTCAGTTTTACTTTAGCGGGCGTCAAAGATGGACATTAGCAAAGAGAAAATACACTATATTTTGCAGCTTTTCTTCAATGTGGTCGAAAGCGCAAGCCAGGCGGCTGAAAAAATGAATAGTGTTTGCTGTCCTGGTACTGTTACAGTCAAACATTCCGGTAATTTTGATGTAAAAATACTTCACGGAAGGCCAATTGTCGATAAAGTCATGAACATTGTGTGGTCCGACCGTCATATAAGAACTGCTTCGATTGCCCAAGAGCAAAAGATTGTACAAAAAAATCCTTTG